CTGGTACTGAGGTGTTACAACTTTCATCATGTTTAGGAAGCCTTCATTCTCCACCACTGAATATGGTCGGAGATCTTTAACAATGAACTTCCCAATAGCGCTGGTAATTTCTGCAGAGCGCCGAGTATCCATAACTCTATTAAAACTGAGTGTCTGTTGACCTTTCAATGTCTTGTCAGACTTTGGTTTGGAATCTGTATTCGATCCTGTTTGGTCGCGAGCTTTCAATTCCGGGTGGTGCCGAATCACATGTGTGTGTAAGTTTGTCGTATTTCTCGAGTATTTCAATTTGGCATGGACAATGGTGGTGCCATCAGGGCTTTTGGTTGCAAGAATCACATGTTTAAAACCGCTGGGGCATCCACATACAAGACATTACAGTGTCGTATTTCTCATTAACTTTCGAGTTTTCATTTCCGTCTATTTAGCTCGTATACAGTTTCTTGGTAATTTCAAATATAAGTGATAAAAAGTTTTACATTTCGTCAAATTCCGCCAACATTTTGTTCTATCAGATAATTAAGTGGTGATGCGAGCGCACTGTCTGACACAGTTCTTGACGCATGGATTTCCAAGAAAACGTTTACTTATAAAGGGAAAATATGTATGCATATATTTTTAATCTCGAAAGTCTTTTTATCGACAGATATCGCGATTCGGCAATATTCCATCGATGCATCGTTGCCCATTTGAAGTATCGTATCGGGAATGACAATGAAAATCTTCGTTTCAAACACTATGCTTTAAAACCGCTGGGGCATCCACAATTCCCACTCTGACGTAACTTATGCAGAAACCGGTTGATATTGGCGACACACATTGTCCCTGTCCCAATACATTCATTGAAAAACCTCTACTATGAGTAAATGTCATAGTTGTTTTATATAAATTGCTAGCTGTCCTCGGTCCATGCAGGAAGCAAGTACAGTTGTCCCTTTGTAATTTATTTCATTGTTAAATTATACCTTGTTTATATTGTATTGTAAAAAAACGTTTTATGTTAGTTACCTAGTTGTTTGTATAATTTACCTATATTTATTGTAAAATTATACCTTGTTTGTAGTCACGATATGCCTGAAATATTGCCGATGTGACTTAATATCTTAACTCACTCACTCATCATGAGACTGACTGTGCATATATTCATTAACCATTCTCACAGGTTGACAAATATGTTGGATCCGTAAAACAATCAAAATTGATATTCAGCAACCCATGGTGTCGTAAGGGGGACTAATGTGATCGGGTGGTCTTTCTCACTTACTTGTTTAATGTATGCCATAGTATCCCACTTGCGACGATCGATGCCCATAGTGCCATGACCATGGTATGTGTAGCTCTTTTGTGTATATCATTAGATATTACTAAAACTGAGGCCTGCATATTTTTATGAACGTTATTGTAGAAGCAAACTGTTTACATAAAAATCATCTAGGAATCTCTTTGCGTTGTCCATAAAAGTAGGTACTTAATGTTTTGTATTTATACCACTACGTTTCTGTCGTAATAGCTTTTCATCAAAATATTCCTCTGTGATAAAGTTGCAAATGTGTCTACTAATTGTCCCCGTGGACCTTCTGCTTCATATCTGTGCATGTAAAAGTCAATGTAGGGGAAGATGTAGTTGTAAGAGGTTGAACCTGTTGTTTACTTCAGCATGTGGGTGTGGACGTGGACCTGAAACATGTTCCCATGGGCTTGACATTGTTTGACACTGACTAAACTGTCAACTGGGAATACACTATGACTATTAAGAATCAGCATTGTCACTAAGGTGACATAATCCCCCGCCGCAAATGATCAAATCAAACTTAAATAGTAAGGAAATTGAAGGTCGTAGTTTAAGATGAAATTAAATGTCAACAAAAACATGACAAGTCAACCTCTCTTGATATCTTGCTCTGTAGTTGTTCAAACACACAAATATTTTTAAGACTCACTTTGACCTTGACATGAATGTCATGGTGCATGAAATAGGCAAAAATAGTAATAAAGAAATTGCTTATCAAAAGAAGTTTTGAAAGTCTATGAAGAAAATCTACTGATCCGCCCTTGAGATATCCTGCTTGCAACCGTAACGTGCAGGTTAACATGCTGAAATCTTAAAAGTGTCCACGTGACCTTGCAAATTACGTGATGGTCACCAAAATTTACTGGGCGGTTCTTAAGATATCTCGCTGACAAGGGTAAAACGTTAAAGGTCACATGCAACAAAAAAACACAAACATAATTAAAACACAATTATCACTTATTCATGACATATAATATACATTGCTGATTATGAAAAAAACCCAAATAAATAAAATTATAAGCGTACAATCGTAAATCATATGTGCAATATTTTGTGCTTGGGTTTACTTCTCTCGAAACGAAGCACCCTGGATACCAAACCCAGTCAGGCTGGGTGGGCGTACACTCAAGTGTACCGAAGTCTTTCATTGGCTGGTTCATTTGCCGATACTCTCATTGTGTGTGTATAGAGATGTTGGGTTTTGTAAATACATGCTCATTTTTTGTGTATAACATTTTGCAATCAACAGACACCATAACATGTCATGTGTACAAGTATCACACCTGCCTGTCTGTGTAAGTACATAATGTGACAGAGACCGAACTCGGGTGTACGAGCCATAAATCAATGCGTTTTGTTTATGGTGTATAGCCTGATAGGTGTTCAGTTCAAATTGCATGTGGTCAGTGATCGAAGTTGTGTATTGAATATTGTCATTAGCAGACAGGCAGGCAGACACATAGGTGTCAATAAAACAGACATTGAGTTTTGTCTGTGAAAGAGGCACATCTATATCACAGTTAGAAATTCTGACAATGCTAAATAATGACGTTGATGTTAAGTATCGAACTGAGAAAGTGGCTCGGTAAGAAGAAGGTGTGATGAAAAAGTCAAATGAAATTATATAAACAGTTAAATCGGTAATCTCCTGTCATAACATATAATAAGCTCTCGCCTGTGAAATATCAACAAAACATTAGAAAAATAGCTCACATCAAAGCCTACTCCGAGTACTCACCGCCAGCGAAGGTTTTCCGTCTTGAAATGTCGAACGCCTCACTGGTTGACACATAGCTGTGTACATCTAGATACTTAACAAGGTTCTTTTATGTAACGAGTAGATTATTTACTATTTGTTGTTTGTGTACACAACCAAGATTAGACTACTCCTGCTCACGACCTTATAATCCAGACATACCGCTTCCAAGCTGACCTTGCCAACAAATTTGGAGATTAGCCTGTATATAATATTATTGTCCACAGTTTTAAATCATGACCTGAGTATTACGAAACTACTATTTTCATGACAATCAGTCAAATCAGTTATTTACATTAAACCCATCCAGTTATCGGTTAAAATATTACCATAACTGGAATTAAATGGTGCACTTTAAAGGCCCCTGCACGGTGGTCGCGCACGGTAGCTGATGACAACCGGCTTTAAATCAAAGCTAAATCATTCCTGATTGTGAAAAATCAAATCCAGTTTGGATGCCAGAACTGAACCACATTTTCACCATTTTCTGGGTCATGACCAAGGCATCGTGCATCAGGAAACGCGACTATTCGCGTATTTCCTGGTTCTCCGGATGTCACCATGGTGCCCCAGTCGGTGGCGATGATGTTGGAAAGCTTGCACAGCGCTGCACACGCATTGCCGGTACCTCGTTTTAATGCACGTAGCTGAAGTACACTTGTAGGTCGCAATGGCATTGTTGGTAATCAACGGAAACTAGTCGTTGCCCTCTTAAGACACCTCCTCAACACTTCAACGCATATTCAGGAAGAATGTCCTTGGTATCTCAGTAAGCTAACACTATAAAACCAGCTCAGGTCTGGGCTAGTACAAGCAACCACACATACACACACGTGCACGTCGTCATATCAGCGAAATATTCTTAAAATCCCACACGTTAAACTCATCTCACATTTTACTATGCGATCCGATTTAAAACAATATTCTATTCATAACTTGGACAACGCTTGTTAAATACAGGGCCTTATTAGGTCAAATCACTGGAAATTAGGGCCTTTTAAAGCTAAGACGAATTATGGACCCTTCCTGGAAATTAGGGCCTTTTTAAAGCCAAAAGGAATGTAAAAGTTTCAGGCTTTTCCAAGCCCGTGCGAACAATGTTTGAACATTGAAATATTATGTCCGTACTTCAGTATTTGAAAAGTTGCTTCGGTATAACTTTGTTTATATTTGTTATTTATAGCCGCTCTCAACAATGTACAAGCTGTGTGTCGGTGGTCTGTAAGTAGTCGAGTCTCAGCTAGACAATCCAGTGATCAACAGTATGATCTTCGATCTACGAAACAGGTATACGATTACATGTGTCAACCCGATCCTGTTAGTCACCTCTTACAACAAACATGGGTTGCTGAAGATCAATTCTAACCCGGATCTTCACGGGTTGGTATAACTTCGATGTATTGATATCTGTGTCAGTAATTTACCTTTGTCGCCATGTCACGACAATATAATTAAAAAACATGTGGCTTACATGTCACTAGACACAGGCTCACACGAGGATGTATTACGTAGACGTGTGTGAGCTCCTTTGCAGCAATTTACATCATTATGACACATATTTCTGTTTGTTGCTTACAAGACTCACTCAGAATTATTCAGTCTATATGAGTATGATATACAAGTAATCAAATCTGGACGAGACAACCCAACGTCTGATATGAGCAGGAAACACTGCTGTCGGTGTAAGATAGCCCGGATGGTCACCAAACCTGATGACCTGGGCCTTGTTTCACAAAGCTAGCGCAGCGCCACGACTGTTGTACCTCCTATACTGTAACATAGACTTACGACGGTCGTAGCGCTACCATAGCTTTGTGAATCGGGGTATAGATCCACAACACGCCTCTTCCAACCAGCGTAGGTCAGATTGAAGCTGAAGGATGACACAGTGGTCGCATTCGCCTATACACTTAACATGGATGAGGAAATAGACAAAAGAAATATGTTTCATTGAAGTATGAATTCGTTTATTCAAATCAGGATTCTTACATGTGTCAAACCTACCAAGAAGGTAGACATGTAAGGTCTGAAACTGCAAAACTGCAAAATGATCAACGATTTATTGTTAGTATTGTTAATCACCACTGATACCAAAACACACACAAGCATCCCACCCTCCCCCACACGCACACGTGAACTCCCAAATATATTCTATCATTTGTGTATCAGAATTAAATCCATGTACTTACAGAATGTGCAGGCTAAAAGTGTGCTCTCAACACCAGTTAGTAGCTGAGTAATTCTAAATACCACTTATATTGATATCTTGCTTTCATCAGATGACGTTGATCGATGTTCATTCTATTGATCACTGGATTGTCTGGAAAAGACCATATAGTTGAAATACTGATGAGTGCGGCGTAAAACTAAACTTATTCACTCACTTCATCAGACGACGATTATAAGGTCACTGATATATGATATATATAGGTCTCTGATTTATGTTTCAGGCTACCAGTAAATCATCATCAGCATTGTTTGTACGGCGGGTTTGCCCAATAATGTCATCTTCACATAGAATCTTTCTTATTCTCTCCTTAAATAGTTCCTTGGCCTCGGCATCATCGCACCACTGAATAAACGTAGTTGACATCATTAGAGCTCGCAGTGCTGACGTCACATGGCAGGTCTTGATCTGATCCAGAAGAATCACCACAATGTCAATCTCACATTTAAGGAATGAGTACAGAGCCAGCTGCAGTTCAAATTTGCACCAGTCACTCTGCATGTATTCGTTAGAGATGACCAGGATGGTCTTCCTGCTGGTGTCCATAGCTTCAATGACATTGTCAATTATGAATTTCCCGGGTACAAAATCTCTTGTGTGTTCACAAAGCCGAAGGCCGACTTCCTCTTCCAAAAAGTTCAGGAGCTGGCCATGAACCCAGCCATGGTCTTCATTGCTGTAGGAGACAAATGCATCGTATTTCATGTCGTTCGATTGACGTTGTAGTTGCCGTTGTCGTCGCCGCCGTAGAAGAGAAACCCAGTAGCGGATGTACCAGCGGTACCGATACACCACCAGAACTATGACAGTAAACATCAAACACACTGACAATACAATAGTCAGGATGACAGTGTACAACTGTTCAATGGTACACGACTTTTCTGTCGGGTTAAAACCAGCAAGTCTGAGACGCTTTCCACTGGGTGATGTGCACTCGTAATTGCTTGGGTAATTAGAAAACGTGATGCTTTTATTGCCTGTGACCTCTTTCATCCAGGTCCTGAACCACAACAGCTCACATGAACACATGAAGGGGTTGCCTGAGAGATCGATTACCTTTAAACTGAGTCGGAACTCAAGAGGGAATGTTTCCTCCTTAATGATCTTAATGTTACAATTTGCCAGGGAGAGTCGGCTGATGCTGGTTACGTTCGCAAAAACGCCGCTGGTGAGGTTAGGAAGGTTATTTCCAACTAAGTTCAAGATACGAAGTTTCGTCAACTTGGAGAACACTCCAGGTGGTAGGTCATTAAGTCCTGTGAGCTCCATGAGCAGAGACTCTAAATTTTGTAAGCTCAGCAGAAAATCTTTCAGCCTTTCGCCAGCAATGTTTAGTTTTGTATTACTGAAATGAAGAATTCCGATATTTGGTGTGAATTTGAACATATTTTCCAGATTGTCACGAGCACCTGTAAAAGGTGGGTTGTTGGCATAATATAACTTGTACAAGCTTGTTGAATTGAACACTAAAGATCCTACTGATTTCAAAGCCCATAGATTGGCAATATCTAAACTCTGAAGATTGGGTAGATTTGAGAATGCATTGTCTGGCAAGTGTTCAATTCTATTCTGTGAAAGTATCAGTTTATTTAGATTCTTCAGGCACATTATAGAAGACACATCAAGACGTCGGATCGCATTGTCCTGTAAGTTTAACATTCGTAACATAGGAATTAACGGCTCACCGCTGTCTGCGCACAGGGGCGGAATTGCAACAAGATTATTTCCGTTTAGATTAAGATGTATCAGATTTTGCAAAGGACTTTCAAGGATAAATGAGTACATCCTATTTTCAGATAACTGCAACTGCGACAGGTTGAAGGTCCGTGATAGGGCAGATGCATTGAACACTTCTAGTTCCTCACCCGCCAACGCAAGATTTCGAAGTGATGTCAAATGCTTAAAGACCACTGCATTTATATGTTTTACTGGTCCTCCGTTTCCTGTGATTACAACGCTGGCAAGATCGCTCTTTATGCTGTTAAAGGCTAATATAATGTCTGGTAAAGGAAGATCAGGCTGTTGCCATTCCAGTGCTTTGAGGAAGTGTAGATCCTCAAAAGCATCTGGCGATATTCCGCTGATGACATTATTTGTCAGTTTGAGGGATGTGAGGTTACAATGCGTCAGGTTGGCCATCATGTTCCTGGTGATGAAGCCAATATCCATGCGACGCAGTTGGACTGTTGTGATTCTTGGGGGTGCCCTCGGAATACCGTTCCCTCTTTTATCACACACCATGACCGGAGGACTACAATAACAGTAAGAGGGACAGCCACTCATGAACTTTGGTAAAAGTGCTGCTAGTAGGAGACGGATGATCATCATGATTCGTAAATCCCCACTGCAACAAGAAAAAATAACAATATAAACATCGATGAACGTTTGAAGATGGAGTGGAATGATAGAGTGATATAATGGATCAACATGTTCTATCGGCATGTTCCACTGTTTAACACCCGTGAAGGTCCGGGTTAGAATGAACTTTCAGTAACCTAAGAGGCGACTAACGGGATCGGGTGGTCAGGCTCGCTGGCTTGGTTGACACATGTCGTCGGTTCCCATTTGTGCAGATCGATGCTCATGCTGTTCATCACTGGATTGTCTGGTCCAGATCCGATTATTTACAGACCGCCGCCATATAGCTGGAATATTGTTGAGTGCGGCGTAAAACTAAACTCACTCACCCGTCGTTCGGCATTGACGAAACAGATGCAGTTAACCTACGCAAATACGGCTTTCCACTTATTTGGCACATTAAAAGTGTCGCTAATGTAACAGTAAAATGGTAATAGTGAACCTGTATTCATGCCATGTTGAAAAATGTTCTGTAACATCTATTACAGTTTCACATCATGATGTCGGAAGGCTTTATGTGTAAGATGTATGTGCACCAACGATGTATTTTAAGGGCTTTTGGGTTGATATTCCGAAAGCAAGACATCGCTTTATTGAAAATGGAAGAGGGTAATCATCAACATCCATGTCACAAATGAAATAAATCAGTTTGTAAAACCAATAGTAAGATACATGATGTCCTTCTCTAAATTTGCGTTATGACAATATACTCGCTTAGAACTGGTGCGAGACTATTAACACCAGATACTGCTGAAATGGAACCATCAGAGAACTGAATGTCATACATAGTGAAATCATTAGTCAACAATTGCCGTTTATATCTTCTCACACCCGTGCTTAGTTTAGTCACGATATGGCTGAAATATTGCCGATGTGACTTTAAATCTTAACTCACTCACTCACTCTCAAACCCGTGAAGATGCGGGTGAGAATTGTTCTTCAGCAACCCATGCTTGTCGAAAAGGCGACTAACGGGAACGCGTGGTCAGGTTCGCTGACTTGCTTGACACATGTCATCGTATACCAAATGCGTAGATCGATGTCCATGCTGTTGATCACTGGATTGCCTGGTTCAGACGCGATTATTTACAGACCACCGCCATATACACGTTGCTGGAATATTGCTGAATGCAGCGTTAAACAACAAACAAACAAAGTATATCTTCGCAACATTAACAATGGCAATTATTTAGTTCCGACACTAAGAAGCTTAAAGAACTAATATTCATTTTCAAAGACGCTCAGCTATCACTCATTTAAACACGTTCTTGTGCTTATGCGATGATTAAATCATAGGCATATTGTAGTTTGAAATATTCAACCTAAATATCAATTATATGGTCAGATCCGGTTTGACTAAGGGTGGAACACATTGCAAACCACGTTCGAGATAAATTTAGAAATGAACATGAAAGCAAAAGTACTCTCCACATATACATTCATTGTAAAATAACAGCGACAAAAGATAATCAATCGTTTCCATAATCATGAAATATCTGTCAAACGCAAAGTCCTTTCTATGATTCCGAGTAAATCATAAGCATGGTGATGAATACTATTGGTAAGAATATACATAGGGTTTTCGCGAAACTACCAAAAACATACGCGAAGACTTGTCTAATGTTCACCTGAGTGGGTGAGTTCAGTTTTACGCCGCAATAATCCAGCTATATCTGTAAATAATCGCGTCTGGACCAGACAATTCAGTCATCAACAGCATGAGCATTGATCTGCGCAATTGGGAACCGATGACATGTGTCAACCAAGTCAGCGAGTCTGACCACCCGACCCCGTTATTCGCCTCTTACGACAAGCATGGGTTACTGAAGATTAATTCTTACCCGGACCTTCACGGGTCAGTGTTCACCTGAAGACACATAGGACCATCGTGCATGTACAAGTCAGAAATCGACATCGGACATAAACTTGTCTGATCTTACAATTGTGGATCACATGTCATGAACTGATCTGATATGTCCACCATTATAGAACGTTTTGTAAGTTTTACTGAGACCCTGGCTGCTATAACTATATGTAAACAAGTGTTGACATACATACCACTGCTGCTGTGGAGTATAGGCGCCGCTTGTTATGTGTGTCTGGATCCCTGTTTCATTTCAGCCCAACCACCATAAGTCACTTTGACACTGTTCGGGAAGTCTACTTGATGAATCATTTCCTCCAACCCTTGACACAGATCAGCACCTAATAGCTTATTCATTACATGCTTGGTGATCCCATAGTAGAGTGAGTGAGTGAGTGAGTGAGTGAGTGAGTGGGTGCGTGCCAGCGTGCGTGCGTGCGTGATTGAGTGTGTGAGTGAGTGTAGTTTTAAGCCGGTATTAGCAATATTCCAGCACTATCACGGCGGGGAACACCAGAAATGGGCTTCACACATTGTACCCATGTGTAGGGAATCGAACCCAGGTCTTCGACGTGACGAGCGAACGCTTTAACCACTAGGCTACCAAGACACGCTGGCTTATGAAACCCCCTATGTTTCCATGAAAGTTCCACCTGCGTAAAATAATGAATGTAGTGAGAAGGACGTGAGATGATTTGGGGCGTGAAGCTGATTTCAAGAGCATCACGATGACAATACCTCCGTCTATTAAAGACTTGCTCCTATTAGAGATCGGTACTCGCATCGCAAATACGATACTCTCATCTCCAGTATATGACATTTCATATCAAAGGTCTTGTCATGTCAAACCATATCTGGGGCGGTGGGGTGGCTTAGTGGTTAAAGTGTTCGCTCGTCACGCCGAAGACCCGGGTTCGATTCCCCATGTGGATGCTATGTGTGAAGCCCATTTCTGGTGTGCCCGCCGTGATATTGCTGGAATATTGCTAAAAGCGGCGTAAAACTAAACTCACTCACTCACCCTAACCATGTCTGGAAATGAAGTACAAGTGTCGGACGGAGGAAACATGGTCCTATATATAGCTTCTATTTTATGACGGATGTTAATGCGTCATCAAAATATGACATATCCCTCGGCCCCTACTTATTTGCAAATGTCATGTGAATCCTAAACCTTGAAAGAAATTCACCCATCTAAGCACTCGGGGTACTGTTACTGAACATGGCTCTCGAACCGATTGCAGGAAACCACACGGCCCTTCGCTAAATGGGTGCTACTGTGTGCTCTATTGCGTGGGAAATGGTTTTGAATTGATAGTGTATCAGTTATTAACGTTTAGTATCAGTAAAAACACAGAATTAGATTTATAGAAAACCCAATTTCCACATTAACTATGAAGTAGAGCGGGACAATTATTTCGGATTACCAACAGGATCACGTGGTTCCTAATTTGCAACAGCTATGTTCATTGGTCATTTGGAATTGCCAATATACAAAGAGACTAATTATAAGTATCATAGGCTGAAAGTACATTTGAATAATCCATGTGTATATTGTTGAGAGAAATTTCACCTGGGAGACAAATTCAGCCTGATTAAAAAGCAAACCAATAATTTCAAAGAAATAACGAAAGAGTCACCTCCGTTCTGATAAAAGTAACTCATACAGACCTTTGCACGTTTAGAAAAAGAATCGTTGAAATCGGAGCATTTCAGTAACAATACATCAGTCATTTCTATCAGTGCAGCTAAATTCAATTACAACCCATGCACTCCAATTTCTCCAAGAAGCGACAAGACTGAATGGGTCGCATTCTCACATTGTCAAACATCTTAACTCCAATCTGAGGCATGTTAGACGGGATGTCATGATGACAACGCAACATATTTTGTCAGTAATTAAAAGTTGTTTTGTCGTCTTCAGTCAATAATGCGACACTGCGGTGATGTCCCTCCGAGGGTTCCATACAATTTCTGACAAGCTGATAAATCCGGATGTAATACAGAGAGACAATCAAGACTCCATCAGTTCAACTGCGTAATACTTATCATTTCCTGTTTATCTGAGACAATAACATCCTGACACATGCTATCAGAAACAGTCGTTTCTTATCACTCCACTGTTCGTAATGATTTGTTGAGTGAGTGAGTTAAGATTTGAAGTCACATCGGCATATTTTCAGCCATACCGCGAATGAAACTAGTTCTAAATTCATAATACATACATATAATATATAAAACCCTGTCTACGAAGGACAGTAAAATTACTAGATTATCATCAAATGAGTTAAAACTAGCTAGCATATACCTTTAAAAGTAGAAAACTATTTCTGGACAACACAATGTAAAAATTGGCTATAGATCGCCAGCAACTTAGGGTAGATCACCATACTGGGGACCATGGGGACATACAGTGCCTTTGTTACCTACATGACCCCTAACTGGATTTATATCATCCCCTCAGCTGTTGGCGAATTTTGAGCAATTTAGCCATAAATTAAAACTACCAAAACTACCAAAACTTCTTCCTAGCTGGATTTATACAATCCCTTCACCCACTGGCGATTGTAGTCAAATCCAGCCATAATTTAAAGTTACAAAAATACTACGTTTAAAACATGTAGTAAGTATAAATTTACCATGAATGTTTTGGGACTTAGGTACCCCCACAGGAGGACAATAATGTAACAATACTTCAACCCCCTGTGAGGATACAAATGATTTGTTGACCTCAGTGGGATGGCTTTTGTTCTAATGCAGTTTACAGCTATTTCTAGTGCATTACAAATACGATCACTTTCAGTGTAATTTGGTGTTTGAGTAAACGTTCTATCATCCAAAACTGTGTTCGACAGGAGATATCGCTTGTGTGAGATCATATGATATCTCGTAGGAGATATCGTTTTGACAGTAGATTTTGTACACTGACCTGACAATGCTATGACGTCATCAACTTGATGTTGAATTTATTGGTGAATGTGAACATTCAAAATGTCTACCTAATGTTGAATTTATTGGTGAATGTGAACATTCAAAATGTCATTTTGCGTGTCTTAAACGATTCAAGGTCAATACCGAGTGTAACCTCTATGCGACTGTATTCAAGCCAGCACTCTCTCCTCATATCCCATGTCAGCCTCCTGATCCCATGAAGGGGCAGTCTACGCCATTCCTTGTGTAAAGCAGATTCCGATTGGGCAAGGTTCTGTACAGGAGGATCCATTTGTTGCACACGACGACCAATTATGTCCCAGACATGCTCCTTAAGGTTAAGATCAAGGCTCATTCAATCGTGATATATGTCAGGGGGGACTTAAATAAGTTCTTTGTGTAAGTCATTTTTGAGTATCTGCTTTGGGATTTAATGTAGCTGAAAAAACAGATTATTTTATTTGCATATTTAATAAAACAAGTCAAATTTGTGATTCTTAACTCCTATTTAGAAGAAACATTTGGAAGTCTAAGGTGAACAGCTGGTAATAATTATGCTCGAATGTGTTTCTAACAAATATTTTCACCCTTCTTTTAGTTGTAGGTGTTCTAGATGTTTAATAGTTAAAAATTAATAAATAAAAACGAAAACAAAAACAGCAATACAATATACGAAGGGTTCGGTGATATTAAGTACCATTACAATCAAACAGTTATAGAGTTATCGTTCTTGTCTAAAGTAGTTCTGATGTCCATCCGCCAATATGAAATCCTTCCAGAAGGTTTGACCCGGAATAACACGATTGAGTCAAGAACGGATACAGGAGTTGCCCTGTACACTAGCATCGCAGGGTGAGGATCGTCTGCTTTCTGCCAAGGGTTATGCAACATCTCGCACCGCTTCGCCTTTGCTCTTGGGATGCAATGAGCTAGATGTAGTACGCTCACCTTTGTACATGTGAGCAACGTCTCGGAACTCAGTAGTGGAATACTGTGGCCCGTTGTCTGACATTATGGTCTCTGGTATACCAGGCCTCGAAAAGATACTCTTTAAGGCCTTGATAATGTTGGCTGATGTTGGTGACGAGAACAACTTCACTAACAACGTTACTGTACCTCGAATAGTAGTTGATCACCAACAAGTACATGGACTTATTCACTTATTTCATGTTTGAAAATACAACATTTTCGCAACAGATTTTTGGCCTATGCGTTTCTCTTTTGGGATAGTATATCTATGTATGAAGAACTGGGGGGATTACAAGCCTGTACCCTTCAATAGCAACCCATTTGCTACCGACAGTTCATGCATGATTATATACATCAGTTTCTCCTCGGAGTACAGAGAATCGTAGAATGATCATTCATCCTGCACATACATCATAATTTTCCCATACACTTTCTTCTGCTCACAGGTTATTTCTGACAGTTTGGAGTCAGATGTTGGAAAATGACTCACGACGGAGTCAACATGGAGTTGAGTCTCTTTTAGAGTTCGGATCATCCAGGATTGGACCGCTGTCTTCTGGCGATCGTGGCGGCGACAGCCAGGTTCTTGCCAGGAGTGTCGAACGCAGAATAGCTGTACCACATTAGGCACATTCTGAAGCGTTGAAGTCTCAGCGACAAGTCATTTAAACTTGTAGATCCAAGAATGGGGATCAAAGGCTTATGGTCAGTCCCCACTTGAAAATGTTTTCCATTAAGAAGTTATTGAAACATTCTCTTGCCCAGGTTATCGCGAATGCTTCTTTTTCAATTTGAGCATATTTCTGCTTAGTTTCAGTCAGCAGTTGGGATGCAGACATCACTGGCCTCAACGTTCCATCCTCTTCTTTCTGTGTCAGCTCACTCGTGAAGATCCGGGTTAGAATGAACCTTCAGTAACCCATGCTTGCCACAAAAGGCGACTATGCTTGTCGTAAGAGGCGACTAACGGGATCAGGTGGTCAGGCTCGCTGGCTTGGTTGACACATGTCATCGGTTCCCAATTGTGCAGATCGATGCTCATGTTGTTGATCACCGGATTGTCTGGTCCAGGCTCGATTATTTACAGACCGCCGCCATATAGCTGGAATATTGTTCAGTGTGGCGTAAAACTAAACTCTCTCAGTCACTCGATGTATGTTGATCATTGCCAGAATTTTAATCGTAAAATGTTGGTAGTTTTAATTTATGGCTAAATTGCTCAAAATTCGCCAACAGCTGAGTGGTCACCCATGGTCTCCCGTTTCTTGCCCTGCCTCTTGTCCAACCTGTTAAACGCTGCATTAACCGATGACCGATATGCGCGCGCGCATCCTAACCTCATGGCGACGTCGGTGTGCGTTGCT